GGTAACCAAAATGACCTGAGGTCACGAAGTCATGACATGAATGAATGACAGTTTCTCTGCTAGTCTTGGGTACCAGGATTTTCCAATCGGGAAAATTCGTTTTCACAGGAAGGTCGGAGGGTAGGAATTTATAAATGAGGCCATTCTCGACTTTCCATTGGGGATAGAGATCTGGCGAGCTCATATTTTTCTCGAAGAGATTTGCACCAGGAATCTAGATTATTAGTGGGAATTTCCAACACTGCTACATCAGAAGATTGATGAGGTATTCGCGACAACGCATCTGGGACGACATTAAATACACCTTTTCGATGAATTAGTTCAAAATTATGTTGACGCAAACGTTCTGCCCATCTTGCTAATTTTCCTGAAGTATTATTTATGTTATTTAACCATGAAAGTGAATGGTGATCTGTCGGAACACGAAACCTAGTACCTTCAATGTACGGCCTGAACTTATCAATGCAGAAAATCATAGCTAGGCATTCCCTTTCCGTTACGGAATAATTTCTTTCTGCACGACTGAGAGCACGACTAGCGTAAGCAATCACCTCTTCCCCATCGAGTGTCTGCGTTAACACACCACCTATACCTGTGTCGCATGCATCACTTTGAATAGTGAAAATATGACTAAAATCTGGTTGCGATAAGATGGGAGCTGAAATTGAAGCATCTTTTATACTGAGGAACGCTGATTCTGCCTCAGAGGTCCAAGAAATAGTTTGTTTATTCCTTTTACCTTTCAACAAAGAGTTCAAAGGAGCTACTAGACTGGAAAATCCGTTCATGAAGCGACGGTACCACGAGCACATCCCTATAAATCGCTCCATTTCGGTCGAAGTAGTAGGTCTGGGGTAGTTCAGCATAACTGAAACCTTATCCGGATCCGTATGAAGACCATCAGCACCTACAATGAAACCTAAAAATTTCAATGAAGTTTTGAAGAACTCACACTTCTTTAAATTTATTGTCAAATTGGCATCTGCCAGGATATTTTCCACCTCTGATAGCAACTCTATGTGTTCTTGGAAGGAAGAACTAGTAATAATAATGTCATCCAAGTACGCAAATATCTTCGGTTCGAACTTGGGTCCAAACAGTGCATCTACCAGCCTCTGTTGCGTCTGCGCATAATTACAAAGTCCAAAAGGAACTACGGAAAACTGAAAAAGACCACGACCTGCAACGCTAAATGCAGTTTTTTTCTTGGACGAATCATCTAGTGGAATCTGCCAGAAGGCTCTCCTCAGGTCAATTGACGAAATATACTTAGAATCCCGAAGCATATTTAGTATTCTGTCAATATGAGGCAAGGGATAGGAGTCATGTTTGGTTACCTCATTTAAATAACGGCCGTCAAAACAAAACCGGTAGGTACTCACCGCCTTCATTTTTGACAAGTAACTTCATTCATGAATTACGATTTTTAATGTCACGGAATAAGCTTGATCTGCTTATGTCATCGATGACATCGTAATGACATTCATTCACCTATTTGATTCAATCCCAGCCAAGAGTAATCTCATTTGAATTGAAGGGGTTATATCTTCAGGAGTGATTAATTTTTTGGGAAAAAAAGTTTTTGGCTTTCTTCTACTCCATCTTGATACAAAAAAAATGAAGATGAGGTTATCTTCCAAAGAAAGGAAGGAAGTAATCACTTTGGAAATGAGTAACTCTATACATGGATGTGTAGATCATACAAGTAACTTTCAGACACAAACTGAAAGAAAGTCCTCCTGAAACAGCTACTTTTGTAATTCATGAATGAATTGTGTGTATTTTTTATAATGTTATCTAATTTGGTACTGAAGGGCCATAGGGCAAGTGTCTTACGACAAAACATCGATGTGTACCAGTGAGGATGACAGTGTTCCATGTAAGTGCAATTTGTTACCATTCATTTTAAGTAGAGGTAATGTGAATAATATCTGATTTTTATTCCACAACGAATGCTTGAAATACGAAATGAGTAAAGAATAGTATCTTCTGTATAATTCAGTGCTCATATAGAGGTATTTGTTTCGGAAGATTTTTTTTCTTTCGTGTAAGTCAATGATTATATGGAAGTAGCTGTTTCAGGAGGACTTTCTTTCAGTTTGTGTCTGAAAGTTACTTCTTCGCATGATCTACACATCCATGTATAGAGTTACTCATTTCCAAATTGATTACTTCCTTCCTTTCTTTGGAAGATTCCCTCCTCTTTTTTTTTTTTGTATCGAGATGGAGTAGTAGAAAGCCAAAAACTTTCTTTCCCAAAAAAATTGAAGTGCAATTTGTTACCATTCATTTAAAGTAGAGCTCATGTGAATGATATCTGATTTTTATTCTACAACGAATGTTTGAAATACAAAATGAGTAGAGAAAAGTATCTTCTGTATAATTCAGTGTTCATAAAGAAGTATTTGTTTCGAAAGAATTTTTTTTTTTCGTTAATTCAATTTTTATATGAAAGTAGCTGTTTCAGGAGGACTTTCTTTCAGTTTGTGTCTGAAAGTTACTTCTTTGCATGATCTACAAATCCATGTATAGAATTACTCATTTTCTAATTGATTACTTCCTTCCTTTCTTTGGAAGATTCCCTCATCTTTTTTTTGTATCAAGATGGAGTAGTAGAAAGCCAAAAACGTTCCTTTCCAATAAATAATTCAGATATAATAACAGAGGCAGGAGAGACAGATCAGATAATCGGGAAAAAACAGATAGTCGAGCTAACACAGGTAGTGACAGCAACCCAGGTGAATGGCAACATCTATTCCCATGAATTAAGACATAGAGTTCGAATGAATCAGTCTAGTTGAAAAATACCAGACATCACCAGAAGATGACAAATGATACTTTGCCGAAGCGTTTGGAAAATAATCCTTGTTAAGATAAAAAACATAAAACGCTGAGCGAAACTCGAAGAAATAGTTTATCATACTTTGTCCGTGAGAATTTTACCACTCATGTAAGACCTTCAATTTTATAGGTACGTGTGGCAGATACCCGACGGAAAAACAACAGGTAACCCAGCTCATGCCGCGCAAAAAGCTGAAGTGAAACCACGTAGTCCTCTTTCACATGAAGAGCTGAGTTTTTATATTTTTCACAATGAAAAGGGCGTCGTTTATAGTTACAAATACTTTATTTTATAGCATTATCACTCATTATGGCAAATGAGGAATTATAACAAAAAGGAGGATTTGAAAAACATAAGAGAGAATTTTCATGTTAATGGTTTAGAAACTATTCATGTTAGATGGATTTATATTTTGTCCGATTCATTGAAATTTTTATTCAAAACAAATTGATTTGCCTGTGCATGCAAGAAAAATATGTCTGTAGAAATTGAAATTTGATACTTGGTCCCTAACAAGAGCTGCACATTACTTGAGTTCCTTAGTTCCAGGAGTTCTTTCGGAAACTGTTCATTGGGATCCACTGAGAACAAAATAAACTCATTCAATCTATGATCGCTTGTGGACTTTTTCAGAATTTCTTTCAGCACGAATGTTCAGAATCATGATTACCCTAGAATATGAAAATCTATCAAAGTTATTTTTCTCTTCACTTATTGCTCTAGCCACAATATTATAACGTGTACATGTGGCTCCTCAAAAAAATATGTGCGTCCTGGAGTGATATAGGAAAGTTGAAGCCAGTGGTTCAGAAGACCACTTGCCGAAGGAGCATCTATGAAAAGGACTGAAAGAGACCCAGAGACGAAACACAAACTTTCTCACTCTAGTCTATGAAAAATATAAAATACTGAGATGGAATGTGCTGCATATTTTTCAGGTATCCCCTAAATGGAAGGTGTTTTCTCCTGTATTGATTCTAAGCCCATCTCCGCTCTGTAGAAGTGGTTTTTTCTGCCTCATGGGTTTCTACTTGTATTTTTTCAGGACCATTTATGTTTCTCATCTATTCATTTTCTGTTTAGGCCTTGTATCATACAATTCGATAGTCCCACATCTGATTTAGGGCCTATATATAGAATTGATAATCTGTATCTAGTACATTCATCAGATTTTTCGTTTTCCGTGATTTCTTATACCCAGTATGTCCACCAGTTTCCTTAGTTCTTAACGGCTTTCTACACATTGCATGTGTATTGACCGAGGTGGTACCTATAATGTAAATTACCAGTATACTCCAGTACATTTGGTGTTTCTACCGAGCATGTTCTCGAGATGACTGTTCATCATCCGTTCTTCACGGTTCGTGACTTCAGCTATGAAGTTTCTGTTGAAAGTGTACTCGATGTCATGTAATTCATGAATATTTTTGATGTTCGCTGTTCCATATGAACCTACCAAAGTTTCAATTTTGTCAGATCCCCTATATTTCAAAAAAATTCCAGTCTGAATAGGCTCATTTTTGTTTGCCCTGTTATCATGAGATGTAAGGTGAATAAATTCATAAGTGTCGTCAATGTTGCTGTTGTAAACATTGTTATGCATTTTCTGTTATTACAAAAAAATGTGAATTTTTGAACACCCAAGCAAATAGGCATATGTCGTTACTGATTTGACCTTCATTGAGTATAGCCAACTCATCTCATTCGGTTTCAAATCTCCTGTCTTTCCGTAATGGCCTCTGGCCAACAAAAAACCTCCGCCTGACATGTTACCTCTTCCTCACTTTTTATTATGTTAATTGGTACCAGGTCAGTCTATGATCTGATATCATCACCAGATATTTAACCTTCTTTGAAAGTTGTATCCCAGGAAGTTCTGGAATTCCAAGACCTTTTGGATAGTACTCATATGGTTTATTGGGATGAGCTTATTTTGAGCCCTTCAGGCCCGGCTGCGTAGCTCATTATATTTGGCCTGGACTTTAAGATTGAGTCGTCCATACTGTATACTCAAAACGTCCATCAATGAACCATCAAAAGGTTCCATGTACAAAAACCCTTCAAAAAAGCTCCTTTTTACCCAAGCACACAGTCTATTCACCTGCAGCTTGTATCGTCTTCTCTTCATATTTCACTCCATATCTGTAAATTTATTGACAATGAAGGTTCCTGATGGTTTTCGAAAAATCCCTGGAAACAAATGAGAACACAAATGAACATAGTTTTCAGTAAGGTTAAAAAAGCGCTTTCCAAGACACATTTTCTGTGACGAAATATTAATCATGAGATTTAAACTGTTGATTTCAATTTTAACAGACATATTGTAGAGTGAAAAATATATCTAGGGTGAAAGCGTTGTCTACTGCAAAGAATTACTAAAACATCAATACAAAAATACACCATTAAAGTTTGTGATACGTTTTATATTCGATATAGAGTGTTAGAACATTTTAAATACGACACTAGGTCGCTCAAGTGAAGTAGAAGTTCTGTTTGCAGATTCAGTATCTAGTTATGAAAACTAATCTAGAATGTCAGGGACATTTCTTTATATGAAATTTGAAACCAGCTAATTCCATATATTGTTTTTTATATAGTTATTTCCAAAATATAAAAACCTACAAATTTAATTCATATGCAGTTTTAGTGACTAAACCAATAGACAGGAATAAGACAAGGTGGCAAAGTGACATTTTCCTGAAAAATTACCATTTTTCAGATTGTGACCCTCTTTGACTGCACTGCCGGAAAAAAATGTTATGTTAAATTTTATGGTACTAATTCATTCGCGAATGTTTTGGAAATAAGAACATACATTTTCATCAGTGAAGATAATACAAGATAATAATATATTAATTTCTGTCAAGATGCCATGGATAGCCATGAAGCATGGCACAAAACATTTACTAGATGATTATATTATCATAAGCTTTATGAGCAAACAGTAGAGTTTTTTTTTAATTTCCATTTCATTTCAGTTCCATTTTCCATTGAAATAATGTATTATCAAAATGTTTGAATGGATGTGCTATCAATATTGGAGAATGTCATTTCAAAAAATGCTACTGAGTTGTATGCTCCGAGATATACCAATCGTCAACATCCATCTCATCAGTATTTTCTGTATGTTAGGGTACGTTTCAGCCGAAGAAAAAATCGAAAGGCGAAACTGAGATTAACATTCTTGTCATAGTCGAGATTCATACAATGGTTTTTGGAAAGAAATTAGTCGAGAACTACAGATGAGTTTCGAATAGGCAAGAGAACTACTGAAAAAACACAAATATAGAGCTTTCAGACATCAAGTACATCAATATTTTTATGCTGACGATGTCAATAGACGGTTAGTATTTTGTGAGAAGTTGTTTCGAAATCATAGAGCCTACCCAAATTTTATCAACTTCATTCAAGTTTCCGGTAAATCAGGATTTTCAAATGAGGCTATGTTTATAAGCAAAATATCTGGTATCGAGCACATCAAAGTCACCATGCACTGAGAGAGGGGCAATTTTCAAAAAAAGTTTTTGGTCAATATCTGCGCTGTTATCGTTTGAAACAGGTTTTCTTCAAAATGAAATCGAAAATCACTTAATAGTTTACTTTTCATTGCGAATTCACTTCCAACAAAGTGGAACACCCCCTCATGATTTCAGAAATAATCTTAATCATCCAATAATAAATATATTGCACAAATGGTCTGGTACGTTGGCCTGTCTGTGCTTAATGTGGAGATATGTTGGAAAAAAAATTACTTTGCAACACCTCCAGCCACTCATGAAATGTTGAAACAAAAAATTCTAAGGGCATTTGAAAGAATAATGTGTTTTGAATAAAAAGGGATGCATTTTTAAAATGTGTTATCAGTTAATTTCTTTCAGTTTGTTGATTTGTTCGCTCAATATGTTTTCAAATTTTGTTAATTCAGTAGATTTCAGTAAAGTTGGTAATTAAATTGCAAATGAATTTGTTGAATGATAATTTTTTTTGGAGAGTGCTTGTCTAGATGATGGCCGTTTGAAAAACAATAAACACGAACTTTTAATTTCATCAACTTGTCTTATTTTTATACACGAGTGAAGGGGTGAAATTCAGATAAACATGTACTGATTTTACTATGATTTGGCATAGAAATGATTGTATTCACGTGGTCTAGTGTCAATAGGGCACCATCAACTTTATTTTTCATATGACGGGGGGTCACATGGCTCCTGGTTTTGAAGGCCTTTCGATATCCTATCCAACACCACTGTGTTTGTGAAAATCGGACAAGCCGTTTCAAACTGACGAGCGTTTGAAATTCTGTCTGTTCTGTCTGTTTAAAATCTGTTTATCCGTTAATCAGCTGTCACCCCTACAGGAACGGCAACTCTCAGAAGTTGAGAAACTTGTGCGAGCTAAGGACTAACGAGGTCTTACCTTTTAACTTGTGATTCCTTACACGGTTGCTTCAAATATTCAACAAATACATTATTTCAACTATTAATTGCAGCAGAATTTTAACTCCGATAATGATTCTGGTCAATAAGCCAATTTTTTGTGGTAAAACAGGTGCGCATATCATCGATTTTTTAAATTGTGGCGAAGTGGCGAAGGCCAAAACTGCAGTATAGAACACTACAGGTTTGTTCTACCTCCTAACCTCCACAGCCAGCTACGAGAACTGGTAACAAAAATATAACAAATACAAAACAACAAAAAAAGTAGTAAAAGAAATACATTATAAACCTGACATCGATTAGCATTCGAACAACAACAAAAAAGAAATATATATATGGATAAATTACCTATTGAGTATATAAGTGTGTTTACCTAGTAGTTCAATTTTCAATTTTTGTCTGAAAATACCTATTTTGAAATGATTCAAATGTGGGGGATGTTTATTGTAAACGTTGCATATCTGATACGTGACTGATCGCTCAAAAAAATCATGAGTGTGTATTGGAGGAGTTAATAACCCTTTGTGCCGTACATTCAAGTTGTGTCCGTCAGTCGGAAATGTAATTTCATTATATAGATATGTCGGAATTGTATTGCAGATAACCTTTTGATAGATACACGCTGAGTGTAACGATCTTCAGTTTTCCATATTGAGCCAACACGTTTCTGACAGCTTTGATGAGATTCTGTTCCTTCTACGTACCCCATAAATAGGGCGAAGGCAGGCATTCTGAATCTTTTGGAGTCTTTTCTTGTTCCTAATTGTGAGGCTTGGTCCATAGAGTACATCTTCATAGTTCAAAGATGAAAGAACGAGACTGTCCCATAGAGTAATTCTTATGTTTTTAGGAAGGAATTTTCGATTTCCTAAATCAGCTTGAGTGAGACGTAAGCTTTTTGGATTAGTTTATTCACATTGGAATCAAATCGGAGATCATTGTCATAGTCACCCCAAGATTTTTTGCTTCCTTCACAATTTCCAATCCATTAGAGCCTATTATATTAAGTTGTTTTAGAATATCTCTATGATATTAGTATTTTCGACTTGGATGTATTATTCATTAAGCACATATTTTCAGCAAGGGATGAGAAAGTGTAGAGATCATGACTGATCCGCGTATCAGCGTCATTTACCCTGTGTGGTTTAATAGAGTAATATATTTGGGCGTTTTGGAATTTGGGTATTTTGAGCTTGTCCTATATGAATTTAATCATTTCTGGGATGATAGATGAGCTATCATTCACTTTCAAACCATATATAAAAATGATATTCCGCTTTAGATGTCTCTCAGTGTTCAAAAGCCTTAAACGCAGGATGTTATTTTTATCCTTCAATTAATTGCAGTGTGATTCAAATTCAATTGTCTTCTGAAACTCAGCCTTTGTAGTTTTGATCTTCAGTTACTTGGCTAGAGACTCCAAATAGCATTTAATTTCAATGTCAGTCTCATATTGATGTTGATTATATCTATACTTTTGACAGTATTCATAGGTTTCAGCATTTCTTTATAATTTTCAAATGATTCGTACCTTGAGTAGATTCGAGATCCTGGATTATTTGAGAAGCGCTCATTGAATATTATTTCTGTTTCATGGTATTCACGCCTAGCTTCAACGTGAATTAAAATTGCTTTGGTTTATTCTTGTGAAGGACGGGGACAAGGCATTTAAAAATCATAAAAAAATTCTGAAACCTATGAAAACTGTCAAAAGTATCGATATAATCAACGCCATTATTAGACTGACATTAAAATGAAATGCTATTCGGAATCTCCAGCAAAATAATTAAGGTACAAAAAACTGAAACAGAAACCACCTGTTTTACCACAAAAAACTGGCTTCTCGACCAGACTCAGTAACGCTGCTGCATTTAATAGTTGAAATAATCCATTTGTTGAATATTTAGAGCAAATTTCAAATGTCAGTTTGAAACGGCATGACCGATTTTCACAAACACAGTGGTTTTGGATAGAGAATCGGAAGGTCTTCAAAAGCAGGAGCCAGGTACCCCCTTTGCATAAAATGAAAGTAGATGGTGCCCTCTTGACATTAGGTTATGTGACCACAACTATTTTCAAGCCAAAAGATGGTAAAAGAAGTAATATTTTACCTGAATTTTTCCCGACCTTGATAGCTTGTTCCATTCAAAAGTTAAGGGGAGATGAGTACTATTCTGATCGTTCCCAGTTCGATTTCAATGAAGATATGTGTTTGTAGTAAAAGAGGAATATTTCGATGTTGAGATTTACAAAATACTACTTCATATTATAATTTTCAAGATGAATCAAGTAAAAAATAGTCATTCATTAAATTGAAAGTACATGAATTGGTGAAAAATTTTAGTCTGAGCCAACTTTCTCTATTGGTTTCTCTACATCAAGTTATTTGACCATACTTCATTGTGCCACTATACTGAATTAGGACATACTAGCTCCATGATGGCTTCAACAAAAATGTTCATCTGTATCATATCATCAAACAAAAACTTGCATATTCCATCAATAAGTCTGAAAAAAAATTATGATTCTATTCAAAGTTTTTGATTTGGGTCCATTTCCGGTTGAACCGGAAAAAATTCTCGATTATTTTGTTGTTGAAAATATGGCCTCCAATGATCCACACCCTTCTTCTGAATTTCAAATTTCTTTTATTAGAAATGATTTCGTTGTCACCCTGTATACCATATTACCAAAGAAATTGCTACTACCATAAATTGATCTACAATAAACTAAGTCACCGGGTACTCATTTATTCATTTGACAGCTGGTTCTCCGTGAAACCGTTTCACCTATCAAAACTGAATTGCATTGTATTTCGGAAATTGAGCCGAATGGTAAACAAATCCCTCGATGATGATAACCCGTCAGTTATATCAATTCCATTTAAATTCATTAAATCATCGTACCACTTCATTTTTAGCATCACAGGTTTTTTCCACAAGACTACATCAATCATCTTTTTATTTCCGCAACGTTAATGATGTATTTTCGTAACGTGTTAAGAAGAAGAAGGAGAAAGAAAAATGCTTCGGATATCCATCTTACCGGTGCGTTAAGACATGGACATGTACAATGATGGATAGATCGCACGCTTTCTCGTGAGACAGAACGAACTATTTTCAAGGTCGATGCCAATGTCTGTGAAGGACGACGCTCCAGGATTCCCCGAGGAGATGTTGATGTATAAGGTGCAAGCTGAAATGCATTCGAAGAACTTCTGTTACGTGTCGGAATGTTGGATGAGATGTTTTGTTTGCATCCCTTCACGTCTAGCCTGAAAGAGAAATATAAATTTGAATTATTTCAGCACCACAGGCGTCATAGATATGATTCAGATTTTTCATTTGTGTACCTTTGGATTATGCAATATTTGAATAGCATATTTTTTGTTGCTCTAAAAAACAATGGGGAATACTAATGGGAGAAATTGTATTAGGCGATCGTTTCAGAAAAGAACTAAATGCATAACAAGTCCTTAACTGTTGAAACGTAATTCATGGACAACTCAAATTATGTCCATAAAAATATCTGAAACAGATAACAGGGGACTTATGCCAACTAATACAAGAAACAAGATTGTTAAAAACAGTATTGAGAGAATATGGGACAATAATCGCAATAGGTACATGAGACTTGAAAGGAATGGACATGTTAGATAAAAATTGAAAATAGGGATAACAGATTTTTTTAAATCACCTGAAAACTATCTCTTCCTGCAATTGTCAATATGAATAAATAATCAACAAGAAAATGAAATCATACAGAGGAACGCAACAGTAAGTAATGTATGAAGGAGTATTGGTATAAATTTTACTGCAACAAAAACTCTCACTCTTCATTAGTAATTCGTTTTGTATGGAAATACAAATATGGTCTTCATTTTCTCATCGGTTTTTTTTTGTATAACTGTGAAAGATGATTAACTCAATCTTTGCAAAACTTTTACGACTTAGTCACTGGAAGAGAAGTAGCTGCAGTGACGCAGTTCGTGAAAAAATTCTACTTAGGTTATGCGACTGTGTGGTAGTTAAAATGAAATGATAAACTTCGAATCATAAGAAGTAGACCGATGTTGATTTAAATACCCCTACCAACGAGTAGAACTACCTATACAAAAAATATTTCAAATGGTCCACGATGTTACAGAACCGAAAACTTCCACAATGACCTGGGATGTTCTCAAACTTTCCGGACTATTCCATTCAAGCATATTCCATTATGTTCTGAAATGTTATGGACTGCTCTCAAATACTATGAATCAACCCAAAACTATCTGAAGCAGGCCCTTCTGATGAAAATGAAATGGGATATAGAGGGCTACAACACTATATAATTTACTTGATTATTCTATATCAATATGTGGTGTTACAAGATTTCCGAACCTTCCAGATTATTCTGGGATATCCTGAAATGTTGTGGAATATTCTCGAACAATGTGAAATATTCTGGACTATTCTACAAATTTCTTAAAGGCGAAAATTCTGGCAATCAAATCTGCAAATGCACATCTCTCGGATGAGAACGGATACCCTTTTTATGAATGGGGGATAGAAGATAACCATAATATATAATTTCCTTGATCATATATATTCCTGGATCTTCTGACACGTTTCAGATTATTTCCAAACAGTTCACCACATTCCAGATTTTGTGATATATCCTCGAACACTCAAGAATATCATTTACGGTTTTAGTAGATCTAGAGGGGGAAACATCAAACCCCTATACTTTCAAAAAGGAGCAGTTCAGGTGAAAACGGGAACGTTCTCCACGGATGGGGATAGAGAGCTACCACACCATATATTTACTTCATTTGTTACACCATCATCTGCAATGCTCTGGGATAGTCCTAAATGTTCCAGATTTAAAAAAATATATGTTTTAAAATATGTTTTTTCCGTTAACCAGCTATCGCACCTCTACGGATGACAACCCTCAGAAGTCGAAACTTGTGCGAACTAAGGACTAACGAGGTCTTATATTTTACCGTGTGATTTCTAACACGGGTTGGACGATAGTAAGTGAAAATCGAGCTCGTTCAGCCTGGGGCTTGAACCATCGACTCACACATCGGCCGATTGACTGAGTGAACAAAGCACCCACGTCGAACCGCCCGGCTACCGACCGACGAATTCCAAAACATTCCAGAATATTCGGTAATGTTGTGAAATGCTTTCGAATGTTATAGTCTCGATATTTCTGGAATGTTCTTGAACTTCCTAGAGAGTCCTCATATTATAAAGCTCACCCTTCTATGACAAAGGACTACACTACTTGTACGAAGCCCTGTCCGGTCACAATTGTACATTTCGGGGAATAAATCAAATAAATGAATGAATGTTTTTACGCACTGTCACTGTGATATACATGCATTTCGAGGAATCTTCTGTAGATGATAGTTGCCAAAAAATATTGTCTTTTTGTGAATGTCAAGAAATCGTTTGTCATGATTTAACATGATTTAATAAGCTGAAAACAATCTACCGTAATCATGAACTACTGAATCGCCAATCTAAACAAATTCTTTGCGATGCACTTGTTTTATCCCATACGAACTATGCTGATGTGGTGTACGGTCCTTGTCTCTTAAAAACCGATGAGAGAAGACCACAAGTATTATAGAACTCATGCGTCAGATTGATCACTGGTTCGCGAAGACGGGATCATGTGACACATCACTTACCAAAACTGGTTTGGTTAAATATGTAAAATCGACGTATCTTACATGCATGTACTCTATTTCACAAAATAATAAATCACATGGAGCCTGCTTATTTCTACAACAAACTCAGGTTTCGGACCGATGTTCATAATCTATTTTTGAAAATATCCCTATTTCAATTTGAATTTTGGAATCTTAATCCACTTTCGTTAAAGCAGTAATATATGTCCATGTAAATTTTGTAGGTGACGTTTTGTTATTATTTTCAGTTATTTTATATCTGAATCAGCTGTGAGAGGAATAAAATGAGAAATGATAATATTTTACAATGAAATCAATGAAAATTTTCACCCCCGTACCATTGAACGTCAATTTCAGATAATGATAGCCTATCAGTTATCATAATTTTTGTACTATTCTAGAAATTCAAGGTTCCGAAAATCTGTCAAAATGATCTAGGAATCGATGACTATTTTTTTTCAAGATTTCTAAATCGAAATTGGTAATTTATCTCTGCCTAGTTCAAGCGTGAGAGGTTACAGCCAGTTCTGAGCCTCCCCCCACCACAATGACATCATCAATAACATTGACCTAGACTGACGTCACACGTCATATGACCTTGAATATGGGGTTTGGTTTCGACATTCAACTCTGTTTCAGATACGTGCGTTGAGTTTTGACCTCACAGGATGTCGTTCAGCTTTGTGCATGAAACATGACTTTGAACGTGGACTTCGACCACTGCTTGCTCGTATTGCTTTCTGTCAGCGCATCGAGTTGGGATTGATGGTGAGAATGCCTGTCACATCAGGTGGCTCTGATGGGAAGCTACCTTCCGAAAGAGATAGTGCACACTTCTGTTTTTAAAGCTGACCCATGAAAAGGGAATACATTAGTTACTTATAAACGATGTTTCTTAAACTCACTTTTGTTGTGTTATTGATGTACTGCACAACCATGGAAAATACCGTGTTACTGCCCTGTTATCCCTATCATTACCTTTGGTTATTACCAGTGCCAGATACTGAGCGACACTACATTTTATAATTCCTCCTAAAGTATAATCATTCAGTCTTACATGTATTTCTTTGCAGTAGCTCTGATATTATAGTATATTGAAAACGTGGACAATATGTTTTTTAAATTTATTTTTTACTGATAGAGTTGCGAAGTTTTCCTGTTTCAATGTTTTGTTTTTTTCCTAAAATAACCAAATACACTGTGTATTCAAAAAATAAGGGAATTTTAATTTTTCTCAAAAAATATTTATTTATTCATTAATTTCTATTTCGTCTCCTTCAAAGTAGTCCCTCTCAGATACAATAGACTTGTGCCAGCGTGTTTTTTCATGTTTGAACTGTAGAAGAAGAAGAGTAATGTCACATGTGGATATCACAGATAACGATTTTGAAAAAAAATGTCTATAATTACGTATACTGATGTGTAAATTACGAATTCGAAAGAAAAAATGGGTGCCCTCCCTCATTTCCGGAGTTGTAGCACTCCAAAGTTCCGAAACTGTTTAGCCTTCTTTTAGCACAATACAAACTATAGAATCACAAGTACATATTTTCCACATCACCTTCACACCTTACTCAACCTTATTCGACACTTAAGTTTGATAATCAACAGTTTTCCTATAAAAAATTTGTTAAATCTGTTTCTGGTGATATCTCTACATTGTGAGGTTATATACTGGTGACATTTCGGAAAAGAACAGCTCTCTCAATTAATGAAGTTTTTTGTAGAAAAAATGTTGATTGTCTAAAAGATGAAATAAGATATGATGGTGATGTGGTGAATAAATACTTGTGATTCTATAGCTTATTTTGTGCAAATAATAAAACTGGAAAATTGAAATTTTCGGAACATTAGAGGGCTTTTACTGTGGAAATGGTGGATCGATTTTTTCTTTCGGATTTGTAATCTACACGTCAATATACGTAAGTACAGTAATTTTTTTTCAATACCGATCACTGCTTGCTAGTATTGCCTTCTATTAGCGCTTCAAGACGTGAGTGGTGGGGTTGTCTGTAACGTCCTTAGCAACCTTTCCAAATCAAATTTGAGAAGCTTACGAGCGTTCATTACATCGAGCACGTTGGTGGAAACAAATTGGTAAATTATGAAATCGTGTGATTGTTGTTAATATTTAACTCCAGAGTTGCCAACGAGATTCCATAAGGCAAGTGAAATCTTACAAGAGAAGTGTGCAGCATGAGAATTATTCATTTATTGGAACAGGTGACGGTGTTCAAATTATAAAGAGTTCATCTCTAGGTTATATCATAGGTACTACTATTGGTGCAGTCGACGAAAAACCTTTTTGATGACGATCATCCCCCGGCATGAGGATTGGTTCTAGCAAAAAGGTATTTTTCAATTCCTGGATTGATATCTAGTGTGTTTATTCTCCAACGTCACCATTATTTTTTCCAATGCGGCATATCTTTGAGTGGCATCAGATATTTCGATATCAACGTCACTTTTGGGATAATTGTATCTGTAAGCCAATATTACTCTGGCCTTCGCTATTTTATCATCAAATGCTCGACGCACCTCACGAGAAACATAACCTATAGTAGATTCAACTACCTCTTGAAGGCCCAGGA